ACCGTTTAATAATTGGAAACAAAGCTGCCAAAGATTGAGAAAAGGTGTACAGGTTCGTAAGTGCTTGCGTAAGTGCTTTCGTGAATCTGGCTCCTGGCCTGTTCTCCTGGACATTTCCTCTCCAGCCTATTCTTCAGCTGTCCTGCACTTCCCCCACTCGCCCATCGGGTTCCTTGTCCTATACACCTGGTAAACACTCGCTTTAGTACCACTAGAACAACTGCTCTTTGTCCACTTCAGAGGTCTTCAATTTCTTCTTAAACAAGTAAATTTTTCTAAAACACTAACACCTAGATAGTAACCATTAGTTAAAAATAGAATGATATGGAATGATCAATACACGTCACAACTTCCACCGGTTATCACAACTCTGGTGGTTATCACAACTCTGGTGGTTATCATCAAATCTGCAATCAGTTGGAGTTGACTGACATGATGCTCGGTCGAGGCAACTCGCTGCAAGTGCTGACGGAAGCTGCGACCCGTCACCCTCTTGTCACCTCGATAGACAGGCAGCTTCTGAACTCATGATGAATGACGAACTGCCTGCCACTGCGGCGTCAGTTGCTCACAACCAGATGCTGTTTGTAGCACGTCGGCGTGAGCTGGTCATCAGGTCTGACATGCCCAGGCATCTGCTGTCCACGTGTTAATATGCCACCATGCCCACTACACCGCCATGCCCACTACACCGCCATGCCCACTACACCACCATGCCCACTACACCACCATGCCCACTACACCGCCATGCCCACTACACCACCATGCCCACTACACTACCATGCCCACTACACCACCATGCCCACTACACCACCATGCCCACTACACTACCATGCCCACTACACCACCATGCCCACTACACCACCATGCCCACTACACCGCCATGCCCACTACACCGCCATGCCCACTATACCACCATGCCCACTACACCGCCATGCCCACTACACCACCATGCCCACTACACCACCATGCCCACTACACCACCATGCCCACTACACCACCATGCCCACTACACCACCATGCCCACTACACCACCATGCCCACTACACTACCATGCCCACTACACCACCATGCCCACTACACCGCCATGCCCACTACACCGCCATGCCCACTATACCACCATGCCCACTACACCGCCATGCCCACTACACCACCATGCCCACTACACCGCCATGCCCACTACACCACCATGCCCACTACACCGCCATGCCCACTATACCACCATGCCCACTACACCGCCATGCCCACTATACCACCATGCCCACTACACCACCATGCCCACTACACCGTCATGCCCACTACACCACCATGCCCACTACACCACCATGCCCACTACACTACCATGCCCACTACACCACCATGCCCACTACACCACCATGCCCACTACACCACCATGCCCACTACACCACCATGCCCACTACACCACCATGCCCACTACACCACCATGCCCACTATACCACCATGCCCACTACACCACCATGCCCACTACACCGTCATGCCCACTACACCACCATGCCCACTACACCACCATGCCCACTACACTACCATGCCCACTACACCACCATGCCCACTACACCACCATGCCCACTACACCACCATGCCCACTACACTACCATGCCCACTACACCACCATGCCCACTACACCACCATGCCCACTATACCACCATGCCCACTATACCACCATGCCCACTACACCGCCATGCCCACTACACCACCATGCCCACTACACCGCCATGCCCACTACACCGCCATGCCCACTACACCACCATGCCCACTACACCGCCATGCCCACTATACCACCATGCCCACTACACCACCATGCCCACTACACCGCCATGCCCACTACACCGCCATGCCCACTATACCACCATGCCCACTACACCACCATGCCCACTACACCACCATGCCCACTACACCACCATGCCCACTATACCACCATGACCACTACACCACCATGCCCACTATACCACCATGCCCACTACACCACCATGCCCACTACACTACCATGCCCACTACACCACCATGCCCACTACACCGCCATGCCCACTATACCACCATGCCCACTATACCACCATGCCCACTACACCACCATGCCCACTACACCACCATGCCCACTACACCGCCATGCCCACTACACCACCATGCCCACTACACCGCCATGCCCACTACACCACCATGCCCACTACACTACCATGCCCACTACACCACCATGCCCACTACACCACCATGCCCACTACACCACCATGCCCACTACACTACCATGCCCACTACACCACCATGCCCACTACACCGCCATGCCCACTACACCGCCATGCCCACTATACCACCATGCCCACTACACCGCCATGCCCACTACACCACCATGCCCACTACACCGCCATGCCCACTACACCACCATGCCCACTACACCGCCATGCCCACTATACCACCATGCCCACTACACCGCCATGCCCACTACACCGCCATGCCCACTATACCACCATGCCCACTACACCACCATGCCCACTACACCGTCATGCCCACTACACCACCATGCCCACTACACCACCATGCCCACTACACTACCATGCCCACTACACCACCATGCCCACTTCACCACCATGCCCACTACACCACCATGCCCACTACACTACCATGCCCACTACACCACCATGCCCACTACACCGCCATGCCCACTATACCACCATGCCCACTATACCACCATGCCCACTACACCGCCATGCCCACTACACCACCATGCCCACTACACCGCCATGCCCACTACACCGCCATGCCCACTACACCACCATGCCCACTACACCGCCATGCCCACTATACCACCATGCCCACTACACCACCATGCCCACTACACCACCATGCCCACTACACTACCATGCCCACTATACCACCATGCCCACTACACCACCATGCCCACTACACCACCATGCCCACTACACCACCATGCCCACTATACCACCATGACCACTACACCACCATGCCCACTATACCACCATGCCCACTACACCACCATGCCCACTACACTACCATGCCCACTACACCACCATGCCCACTACACCGCCATGCCCACTATACCACCATGCCCACTATACCACCATGCCCACTACACCACCATGCCCACTACACCACCATGCCCACTACACCGCCATGCCCACTACACCACCATGCCCACTACACCGCCATGCCCACTACACCACCATGCCCACTACACCGCCATGCCCACCATACCACCATGCCCACTACACCACCATGCCCACTACACCACCATGCCCACTGCACCACCATGCCCACTATACCACAATGACCACTACACCACCATGCCCACTATACCACCATGCCCACTACACCACCATGCCCACTATACCACCATGCCCACTACACCACCATGCCCACTATACCACCATGCCCACTATACCACCATGCCCACTACACCACTATGCCCACTACACCACCATGCCCACTACACCACCATGCCCACTACACCACCATGCCCACTATACCACCATGCCCACTATACCACCATGCCCACTACACCACCATGCCCACTATACCACCATGCCCACTATACCACCATGCCCACTATACCACCATGCCCACTATACCACCATGCCCACTACACCACCATGCCCACTACACCACCATGCCCACTACACCACAACATACCCACCACAACATACCCATACAGAACATCACAACATGACTCCATCTGGAGGTTATTGTCTGCAAAAAAAATTGTGTTTACTCCTTTTCTTGTTGTGTTTCTTTTCTTGGTCCTGTTGGACCCAACTCTCACAAGTCGAGCCTGGCCTCGGGCCGGGCTTGGGGAAGTAGAAGAACTCCCAGAACCCCATCAACCAGGTATCACAACTAATGGCAATTGATCCGGCTGATTTGATCTAAACCTTTACACGCTGATGAAATTCTTTGCGAAGTGCTTGTTGACTATATATTCTCTTCAGAGACAAGTTCCGCATGATTTACAGAGAAGTTTGGACATAAATAATCAGCTTGTTTTCAATGTATGAATCACGTTGTGTTTCTGTTCATCAGAGACAAAGAAACTTCATGACAAAACCGCTGACAGTTGACTTCCGATGTGTTCAGGTATTGAATATGTTACGTAATAGTTCTATATGTATACACAAGGAAAGGTTCATTGAGGGATATATAATAAATGTGTAAAGTTATAGCAGTCTTAAAGAAATGGGACAGATGAGAGTTACAAAATTATAAACGTATCATCAACATATCTCCTGTATATCTGAACACCTACAAACACTTACCAATACCTTATCTGTATCTCATACTAAGAGTTATATATACAGTATTTCTAAGAGTGAAAGAGACTAGTGTGAGAGTCCACTCTGACATTTACAGAGGGCTGAGGCTTACGCTATACAAGACTACAAAAGATTTTTCCAAATCCTTTTTCCAACTGACAATTTTAACTCGCTTCTCAAATGTTTGTTTCCTGCAAACTCTGGCTTCTCACTAGATGCTTAATTAACACTATAATTAAAGACTATGCTCATACATTCCTCATTAGCAATTAACAATGAAAATATATAAATTTTCAAACGGCAATGGCTGTTAAGATCTAATTCCCTCTTGTTGCTTCAGTTCCTCAAAATTTATCGTTCCTTCATATGCCTAAAATTTCTATATGTAATACATATACTTACAGATACTTCATATTCATATACACAAGTCACAATTTTTTTTTTATTAATACATGAGGTACATCTGCATTAGTGCAGCTACCCTAGACTATATGAAGTGGAGTACAGCTTGTGTTGTTGATATCCTCAAAATGCATCCGGAGTCTGCCAGTGCAGACCGCTTATCACATGCCTCTGTATGACTAACCATCCTGTGTGATGGGGATTTTATAGCATCACCTAGTTAGCTTTTTTGACACACTGTACTCCACTTCATATAGTCTAGGGTAGCTGCACTAATGCAGATGTACCTCATAACTTAATAAAAAAATAAAAAAAGTCAAGAAAGCTAACTAGGTGATGCTAAAAAATCCCCATCACACAGGATGGTTAGTCATACAGAGGCATGTGCAGCCTGGTATATCTGAGAAAATCTTTGGAGCAGGGCGGTAGATTTGAACTCCCGTTCAAGGTTACCCTAGACGCATACATTCCCACTGAACCACGATGTGCTGAAAGTAACACAACGTTTGTATTAATCCCTGTCAGAGTTATGGTAAATGAAAGACAGTAGGTCTAGATTAATCCCTGTGAGAGACACTGAAGGTGTAAACTAATCCCTGTGAGACATGACAGATGAAGACTAATCTTTATGATATTCAAGGTAGAGTGTAGACTAATCTTCGCGAGAGAAACGGTAGATGTAGACTAATCCTCGCAAGAGACACCGTAGATGTAGACTAATCCTCGTGAGACATCGTAGATGTAGACTAATCCTCGCGAGACACCGTAGATGTAGACTAATCCTCGCAAGAGACACCGTAGATGTAGACTAATCCTCGTGAGACATCGTAGATGTAGACTAATCCTCGCGAGACACCGTAGATGTAGACTAATCCTCGCGAGACACCGTATATGTAGACTAATCCTCGCGAGACACCGTAGATGTAGACTAATCCTCGCGAGAGACACCGTAGATATAGACTAATCCTCGCGAGACACCGTAGATGTAGACTAATCCTCGCGAGATACACCGTAGATGTAGACTAATCCTCGCGAGACATCGTAGATGTAGACCACAGTAATCCCTGTAAGTAAATCCGGACGAGTGTCAGCATTTTAGATGACAACTACAATTCAGGCTCTTATGAGCAAGTGTTAAAAATTATGTCGGAAAAGAGCCCAGATGAAAGACCTGCCAGTGATCTTGTACTCTCTTCAAGAGCAAACCTGTCAAGTTTCTTCACGTACCTAACCCGTTCATGATGTGGTGAGTGTGTGAGAAGCCAGCAGCAATAGTCAAACTGATCAGCCGGGCACACACTTCGCAAGGGAATCCTGGCTGCGAATGGAAAAAAAATGTTGAAACTGCTCACGTACCTCGCGTTTCCACCACATACTTCCCATTCTAGGAGCTCCTCCACAAATACTTATATGTAAGTTCGGGTAGGTATTTGACATGACTTGGGTTGGTTAGCGTGAGCCACAGATCGTCAGATCCAGGGGGCCTCTTCCAGCCTGCGTTATGAAAGAGTGAGAGTTATGGAAGCAGGCGGGCTGTCCGCCTTGCTGACACGATGGGTGGGTGTTGATATCTAAGCTAAGCTGGCTCTCTCTTGTCAGGGAGCTGTGAGTGTGTGAGAGGTTCTTCACATGTGTTTCAGTATATATGGGTGTCTATAGATGAGTACTGTGTAGCATTCATATATACACACTCCGATACTTCCACACATGTTATGTTGTTCTGTTTAAGACTATTTTTGTATTATTATTATTTATTGATATATGCATATAAATATATATATATATATATATATATATATATATATATATATATATATATATATATATATATATATATATATATATATATATATATGTCGTACCTAGTAGCCAGAACGCACTTCTCAGCCTACTATGCAAGGCCCGATTTGCCTAATAAGCCAAGTTTTCATGAATTGTTTTTCGACAACCTAACCTACCTAACCTAACCTAACCTAACTTTTTCGGCTACCTAACCTATAAAGATAGGTTAGGTTAGGTTAGGTAGGGTTGGTTAGGTTCGGTCATATAACTACGTTAATTTTAACTCCAATAAAAAAAAATTGATCTCGTACATAATGAAATTGGTAGCTGTATCATTATATATATATATATATATATATATATATATATATATATATATATATATATATATATATATATATATATATCGACAAATTTTTCCAATTATTGGGGAGATGTATTTCTGGTCAGTGTTTACTGTGGGTACTTCACCATCTACACGCCTCAACTTGCTCTCCAAGAATCTTGACTTCTTGAGTTATAAAACTTAATATTTTACTTCTGAGATTCATGTTAACATTGTTTCCTTGGTTGAGGGGGAAGATATCTTCGCTTGTGGTAGAGAGAGAGAGAGAGAGAGAGAGAGAGAGAGAGAGAGAGAGAGAGAGAGAGAGAGAGAGAAGGTGAGAGAGTTAATACCTTCAGTGAGACAATCCGACACAGAACATGTCTTAAGTGTAGCACCTACGACCTTTGGTTCATGGGTACAGGCGTTGAAATATTTTCTATTTTTTCCGAACCAAATCCCAATACAGTGATTGGGGGGGGGGGGTTAGTGGTGGTGGGAGGTGACCCCCTCACAGTAGGGAACAACCCGCAGCTGCCACTGTTGCTGCGCACATGGTCTTACCCAGCACGGGATTCTGCGCACGCCAGCCGTCCAGGGCACGATGATTCACTAGGTACATGGTGACTTATCTTGCCCGCGCCCGCCATGTGTTCCTCCACACCCGTCACCACACCCATCACCACACCCGTCACCACACCCATCACCGGTGGGTGTTCCAAGATACGCACTAGACAACTAGACTTATAATAATAATAATTCTGTTATATATTGAATACCCATACGTCTTCATGGCTGATTGACAGATGGGAGGGGGAGTGTGGCCACAGCATCCAAGGGTGACTAGAAGAGATGAATGGGTCCAGTTTCCTTGTCCCCAGCGGGTGCCAGCAGGGACCAGCAGGGGCCAGCAGGTGCCAGCGGGTGCCTCCGGATGTTTGGTCACCAGCGGGTAAACCGCCTCATAATACTTTTGACTTACTATGTATGAGGTCACCTTCCGGCAAGCAAGCAGTTGGTTGAGGAAGTGTAAGGGTGATTGATGGGCCGGATGTTGCAAGCTAAGCAACACCAGGTTGTCCACCAGGGTGACCAATAGTGTGCACAATAATTTTGTTTTATCTTTATTTAAGAAAATACAATATAAATCATATATACATAAGTTTTACAAGGCGGCACCCGCAGGCCCCTACATTATAATTCTCATTGAACAAGTACATTGAAGATATTTGCTGCAACAAATAATGAGCACTATAATGAGTTTTGTTATATTACGATGAACTTACAAAATTATCTTCCAAAATATATTCCCGTTGTTGAGAACAGAAAGCCTGTTAGGCTTATCGAGGTTCTCTATGCCAACGACTGGTCATTCGCAGGATTCAAACCACAACAGCTGATTAACTCCCACGCTAATGTCTGTTCTTGGGTGAACACAAGCATCGGGTATAAGAAAACGTAGCCAACTCCCCCCGTGCAGTCCCTGTGGCGCAGTGGTAAAACACTCGCCCGGCGCTTCGCGAGCCCTATGGCCTGGGTTCGTATCCTGGCCGGGGAGGATTGACTGGGCGCCAATTCTTAACTGACGCCTCTGTTCACCCAGCAGTGAATGGGTACCTGGTTGTTAAACCATTTGGCGGATCGTATTCCGGGGAAAATTAGGATTACGGACCCGCCCGAAACGCTATGCGTGCTGGAGGCTGTAAGAACTCTTGTATATGTATATTTTGAACTCTTGTATATGTATATTTTGAACTCTTGTATATGTATATTTTGAACTCTTGTATATGTATATTTTGAACTCTTGTATATGTATATTTTGAACTCTTGTATATGTATATTTTGAACTCTTGTATATGTATATTTTGAACTCTTGTATATGTATATTTTGAACTCTTGTATATGTATATTTTGAACTCTTGTATATGTATATTTTGAACTCTTGTATATGTATATTTTGAACTCTTGTATATGTATATTTTGAACTCTTGTATATGTATATTTTGAACTCTTGTATATGTATATTTTGAACTCTTGTATATGTATATTTTGAACTCTTGTATATGTATATTTTGAACTCTTGTATATGTATATTTTGAACTCTTGTATATGTATATTTTGAACTCTTGTATATGTATATTTTGAACTCTTGTATATGTATATTTTGAACTCTTGTATATGTATATTTTGAACTCTTGTATATGTATATTTTGAACTCTTGTATATGTATATTTTGAACTCTTGTATATGTATATTTTGAACTCTTGTATATGTATATTTTGAACTCTTGTATATGTATATTTTGAACTCTTGTATATGTATATTTTGAACTCTTGTATATGTATATAAAATAAAGTGCTCGGGAATCAAATCGTTGGGAGGTCGGAATTGTTGGGGAAATACCCCCGACTTCCGATGTCTTTTTAACGATCTGGCATAGTGGGTAGAATACCCTTGGCCCTATTGAAGGCCAAGGTCCATGAACACCTGGCCTTCTAAGGTTCGAGTCCTTCACAGGGTGAGGTAGTTCTTTGTGTTTACCTATGACTTGTGCGTCGTACCACCGGCCATCAGCCGTCTGGGGCGCCCACCTGGGCGTAGATGGAGCAGCTCTTAATGATGGCGCTAACCTTAAATTAGCTGTTTTAAGAAAGACATAATAGAAGGAACATATAGTAAATATATATATATATATATATATATATATATATATAAATAATTAAAATTCGACTTTGAACTTTTAAGGAATGCGTTATATAACAGATGAAAATCAGTAAACAGACACTTCTTCAAGACAAATACATTATAAACAAAATAGTTAAAATCTGCCACACTAATTAAATACCGCCTTTTTTGTCATAAAAAACACATAAAAAATCGAAAAGCAATTATAAAAGAAATAAAATAAAAATCACCATTACATGAAATTCGACACAGCCCTTCGACACGTGTAGACTTGAAGCGGTGAGTGACATTTTCTCTCATATTCTGAGGTGAATGTGAGGAATGTGAGTGTGTAGAGTGAAAGAAGAGTGAGAATTTTTACAAGCAGTTGGCCTACCTTGAGGTTACCTTGAGGTGCTTCCGGGGCTTAGCGTCTCCTCGGCCCGGTCGTCGACCAGGCCTCCTGGTTGCTGACCAGGGTGTTGGCCGCGGCTGCTCGTAGCCTGACGTACGAATCACAGCCTGGTTGATCAGGTATCAACCAGGCTGCCTTGCCTAGAGCGCCAAACAGTCTGGCAGCGGCCCTACACACGCACTGGCAAATTACTGTTTTTATCTGTTGAAATGGAAATTGAAATTGAAATACGTTTATTGAGGTAAAATACACACAAAGGGATGAGGTAGCTCAAGCTATTCTCACCCCGTTCAGTACATCGTGTTAATACATACATATACACACATCACAAACAATAAACATATTACCGAACATTCTGAGAGATAAACATATACATTTCCTCCTTCACAAGTAGTATGGTATCAGACGTACACACAAGTACTTTTATGACCTAGGTATACTGTATAGACAATTTGCAAGAGACATGCATTTTTCTGTTGAGTTTATTCATACTGAGGTAATTGTAGCTTCCATAGCGTAAATATATGTGAATATCAGTCTAATACATATTAGTTATTTATCGTTTTAAGTTAATCAGCGTACAAGTTTTAAGTCAACTTGAGGAGAAATTAAAGTAATTTTCTGTATTTACGGTTGCAAATGATGAAAGTAAAGATGTTACCGATAAAGCACAATTCACGCTTCGCTATGTTGTAGAAGACAGTATGTGGGGTAACAGCATTGTGGAACTAATACCAATAAAAGGAACAACATTGAAATTGAAATTGAAATAAGTTCATTGAGGTAAAATACACACAAAGGGATGAGGTAGCTCAAGCTATTCTCACCCCGTTCAGTACATCGTGTTAATACATACATAGACACACATCACAAACAATAAACGTATTACCGAACATTCTGAGAGATAAACATATACATTTCCTCCTTTACACAAGGAACAACATGTGATGACATCTTTAGTCGTTTATTGGACAAGAGCTGAAGGTCCGGCGACAGCTGAACCACACCAAATTATAAGCAGAAAATCTAATGTGGTTACTGAATTAGAGGTAAAGCTTCCAACTGTGAACGACAACTAGGAATTTCGCAATTTCCAGTACATTGTTCAAAGAAAAATGTTGTGCAGTAAAATATTAGCAATGAATAATATCATGGCAGTCATAATACAGACTGAAACTATGCCGAAGTCTTAACCGAAGAACGAAGTCTTAACCACAAGCAGTTCAACTGGTTATTGGAGAAGAAATTGGAACGCTTGTGAATTCCTATAACGTACTTACATTCCATGGTTACGTCGGGAACTGCATTTTTAAACAGATTTATGTACATACAGCAATGTGCTGCTTCATTACTTAATATGACGGATTACAGCAGCTGTACCGAAGTCCTGTAATGAACTGCAGTGTGAAATAGACACTTTTATAAAATAGAAAAGTAAGGCTACACATAAAGTGAAGGATAATGAAGTTTCGAGGTCTGGCTTACATGGTGGACATAACACAACACCCACTGTAACTGCGCACAAATATACAAGGATACAGTACCTTTCTGAGCTGTATGACTATTCTGCCTATCACACGAACTCTTACTTTTTTATGGCGACTTGCAGAGTAATTTCTTCACACTTTCCACCATTTAAATCCTTGAAAGACATACCTCAGCATTATGCTGATACACTCGTAAAAAAATACTGCAGCAAGATTTCAAAATTAAGAAATGAATTTCACAAGATATTTACCGACAAAAAAATACCTCGTGAAAGATTTCTCTCACTCGGAACCTATTTTCTCTCCTTGCTTAGCTAAATGAATTGTGGGGTTCAGTCCCTGAGCCCATTGTGTGCCTCTGTAACCCTTTCCACTACCGTCCATAAGATGGGTATGGGGTGCATAATAAATGAACTAAACTAACTAAACTCTCATTGTTAATGAAGTACTAGAATTTCTTCATCTAATAATTGAATCACAGAGTGACTGTGTTTTGAGTGAAACGTTTCCCAGTGCTGATGTCAGCACATTTTATCAGCATGTGGGAGTATGTCCACGTCCGGACGCACACAATGTGTCTGAACACTTCGTTTCTGTAATGAACATTAACAAAGATCCGCTTCGTTCTCAACTTACTGATGATACACACCTGAATTCAATATTCAAGGTTGCTGTATCTCGGGCCATTTGCTCCAAACATTGAGGCACTGTGCCAGATCAAGTGAGACCAAGTGTCAGCAATAACACCAGAAAAAATTTATTATTATTATTATTATTATTATTATTATTATTATTATTATTATTCTCTTGCGAGTATTGTCCTGCTGCCCCTAAGGCGTGGAGGATTTACTTCTTGTGACTTGTTCGGTAGGTGCATATGACATCTGATCACCATATGAGTCTAACACCCTTGTCATTACACCACGGGTGTCTACAGTGTACACGTATTTTGGTGCACCTCAGTTTATTGATTGTTGATACATCACAATCTCCAAATATTTGCTCGGAAATTGCAAAAGAATATATAAAAATCATCACTTGAATGCTTAAAGGTATTCCTGCCTAAAATATATAGCTAATAAATTAATAAATGTATAAATTGCTACTAATTAACTAAATATTCAAGTGTTTTACCATTTACTTAACTAGTTAACCCTATAACTACTTAAATGAATAACCAATTAACTGATTACAATAAATAAATGTGTGTGCTTGAATGTCGTACGTTTATTGTACACACACACACACACATATATATATATATATATATATATATATATATATATATATATATATATATATATATATATATATATATATATATATATATATATATATATATATACTTTTGTATTTAATAATAGATCTTTAATAATAACAGGTAAAATAGGACGCTAGATGCTCAGTTTTCTGTCGAACAGAACACAAAGAGTAACAGTCAACCATATAATATCGAGTCCAAGTGCAGTTAAAAGCTCTGTACCTCAAGGTACATTCCTTGCACCATTGCTGTTCCTTATTCTCATATCAGATATAGACAAAATACAAGTCACAGATTCGTATCATCCTTTGCAGATGACACAAAAATCAGCATGAAAATTACCTCTGGTGAAGACAGTGAAAAACTTCAAACAGTTATTAATCAATTTTTCGACTGGGCAACAGAAAATAACATGATGTTTAACAGTGATAAATTCCAGGTATTCAGATACGGTAAAGATAAGGACTTTAAACATAATACAGGGTACAAAACACAATCAAATCTGTCTATAGTAGGAAAGCAGCATGTAAAGGATTTAGGAAAAATGGTGTCTGACGACCTAACGTTTGGGAAGCATAACCAATCAAATATTGCGTCAGCCAGAAAAAATGATAAGATGGATTACGAGAACATTCAAATCCCATCATAATGGTTGTACTCTTCAAATCGCATGTGCTGTCCCATCTTGAGTATTGTTCAGTACACACTTCCCCCTTCAGAGCAGGAGAAATTGCTGAAATAGAGGGAATACAGAGAACATATACGGCATACATAGACGCGATAAAGCACCTAAATTATTGGGAGCGTCTCAAAGCTCTCAAAATGTACTCAGTAGAAAGGAGATGATAGAGATATCAAATAATATTCACGTGGAAAATACTGGAGGGCCAGGTCCCAAATTTATACAGTAAAATAATAACATACTGGAGTGAACGATATGGAAAAAATGTAGAATAGAACCAGTAAAGAGCAGTGGTTCCATAGGCACAATCAGAGAACTCTGTATAAACATCAGAAGTCCATGGTTGTTCAGCATCCTCCCAGCGAGTATAAGAAATATTGCCGGAACAACCGTGGACATCTTCAAGATAAAACTAGATAGTTTTCTTCAAGAAGTGCCGGACCAACCAGGCTGTGGTGGGTATGTGGGCCTGATGGGCCGCTCCAAGCAACAGCCTGGTGGACCGATCTGTCAAATTAAGACTGGCCTCGGGTCGAGCTTTTGGAGTAGAAGACTCCCAAAACCCCATCAAGTAGGTATTAAGCAGGTATATACAGAAGAATGGATTTACAATTCAGTGGTGTAGATATATAGGCTGAAATTAAAATATTCGCAACATAAATACTCTGTATAGCATGGCCAATTGTATAATGCTTTGTTTGTTCATTTGTCAGAAAGTTCTCACCAAACTGATAAGCAGAAGGCTTCTTCAGTAATAATTTGTAAAATAATTTTCAATAGAAACATTATTGAAACTGATTTAATGCAGATTACAATATCATGCAATTTGAACATTAGTAGGAGTTTGTATAAATTAGATCCATTTTTGATTGATCAGTTAGAAAACGATTTGAGTAAGATCATTGATACACATTTATCTCAATAATACCTTATTATTATCCTCTTATCTCAGTATTCTCTTATGTTTGTGAACAAAGACATTGTTTCTCACCTTATTCCTGCCTATATATCCACACCACTGAATTGTAAATCCATCCTTCTGAAGATGTATTATTAAATACGAAAGTACTTAAGGAATTTCCTGAGTTAATCCTTCCTTCGTGGTCTGACACTGTCACATTTTTCATCAATTGTTCATCACGTGTTAATTTCTTCGTGATTTACACACACATATGTGTGTGTGTGTGTGTGTGTGTGTGTGTGTGTGTGTGTGTGTGTGTGTGTGTGTGTGTAACATAAAAGTATTCAAATGTTATCTCTCGGTGCCAAGGCTCCCCACACAACACAGCCTAGCACATACTCGTGTGTATGTATATATATATATATATATATATATATATATATATATATATATATATATATATATATATATATATATATCAGCTGCAGAAACACACCCCATGCGACACACGTATCACCAAACAAGTGTGCTTTTCAATGAGGACAGTTGAGAGGCGGGATCAAAGAGCCAAAGCTCAACCTACGCGAGTACTGATATCGTTGAGTCCAGGATAACAGGAAGAGACGCTGTCACACGCCCGAACAGTCTCGCACAACTGGAGATAACACAAAGACTCGCTCCGTGACTAACAAACATTGTGGGATTTAGTTATATGATGAGCTGATTCAGACTTAACTCTATAGCTACGATCTGAATTGTGATAGGTGAAGACCTCAGACTTTTTCCTCATGTATTAATAAAAAAAAATTATATGTACTCCCCTTCATATAGTCTAGGGTAACTGCACAAATGCACATGTACCTAATGTAT